CTACTTTGAGCCCGCGTGGAAACTGCAGAATCTCTACTCATTAATTGCAAACCCTGACACCCACCCCTCCCGCTCCCCATCCAACAGACCCTCGTCCTCTCGAGCTCCGGCCGCGAGGCATTCGAAGTCTATGCGTTGGCGGCAAAAGATGGCCGCTCTATGACCGCTGCCATCCGGTGTGTGTGTGTGTGTGTGTGCGGTTACACGGAGGAAAGTGATTTTGAGAACATCACATGTTCACACCTTGGATCCGATAAGTAGGTCTTTGAAGTAACGAGCTCAGAGTATGTGTGGTTGATGGTCCAATGCCCAAACGCGACTGGGTTAAGTAAAAGCAACATTCCCCATTTGGCGCTACTACAATCAACTCTTAGCTGAAGATGTCGGGTTTTGAGCAAAAGCCACACAGGAACCTGGGGTTCTCACATGCACTTCGTTGATGTCCCCGGGACCTGGCTGAGACCTGTTCCTCCCAGACACCTGCAATGCGCATCCAGAGTTCTCCAATGCACATCCGAAAGATTCCCCTTTGTTGTTTTTTCACTAGCCAGGCAACAACGATTTTTTGTTGCTGGGGTCCTAATTCCAGCCAAGTTCCTGGGTTCTTCGGGGCTGCGACATGCCAAGGAGAAGGGCCGCGGCAAGACTGGGAAGGAGAGACGGGGGATCTATCAAAAGCAAAATCCAGAAAACCGTGTGGGATGCGCTTTCTGTAGATTGATTCCGCATGACGTGTTGCCAGTTCTTCTTTTTCTTGTACTTTTTTAGTACTCATTTGCTATCCTGCAGGATTGGGTCCACAAAAACCGAATCCAAACAGTTCCCTACGATTCGCAATGCAGTTCAATTGGCCAGGGCTTGTGGCTGGGTTACCTCCAAACACCAGCACAATGTCCTAGGCGTAGTGTCACCCACCTGAAAAACTGCCAATCTCAGGCGTGTTTCTGAGGATTTGCCGGGAACTCCTGGTGGCAGGTGAAAGTAAGTTGTGTCCTTCCTGAAGCTAAGTGGCACCTGAGGTCGCCTCCAGGAAGGTGAGAAGGCAGATGGCCCCTGGAATGCATGCTGTTTTCCACTTGCGACATGGCATCCAGCAGAAGAAGCCTCCCACAAATGCTATGCTAGTGGGAGAAGGGTAAGCTAAGATGATGATGAGACTCGATCCCTTTAAAACGAGCCACCCTCAAACAAAGACGCAATCAACTAGCATCTAGCTTCGTATCACGGCAAGGAGTTCGTAGACGGCTACTCCAAAGGGCGCGGCAAAGGAAAGGCCAGATGGGGAGCTGAACGTGATCGGCGTGTTATTCAACGTGCTGAATCGCCCAGATTTGTATCCTCCCTCCCACTAACATGGCACCTATGGGGAGGTATCTGGAAGATGCATTTCTTCTTGAAGGGACCCCCTGTCAACTGCCATGTTAGTGGGAGAGAGGTAATTTCCCAAAAGCCTGGGGGTCAACCCCCATTAAAAGAATCGCTGACCCGATTTGGACGATGAAAATCCTTGGATAAATCATGGTGATTCTATTAACCCCATTGTTTCGTTTTGTGGTTCAAGCTCCAGGGAAAAGGAATATGATTGCTTCTGTTTTCCGGATCCTTGACTTCCGGATTTGGAGTGAGACCAACGTGGACATCCTTCAAGACCCTTCCAGCACCCCAGCCTGACTCCTGACATCCTATTTACCTCCTGGTGTTGGGGCCAAAGTCTTTAGAAGAAGCCCAGTCTGACATTGTGCCGCGCGCAGGCGGACAACTCCGATCGAGGCGGCCGGAGTGCAGCGGAATCCGGGGCAGATTCGGATACCGCCCTGCGTGCCGGGAATGGGAACCCCGGATGAATGTCAGCCCAGTTGGTGTCCTTTTTGGTTGATTTGGTCGAAAAATAGAGGGCAATGGTGTACCTGGTGGTTCAATCAACTACCAGCGCCCTCTATATTCCAAAAAAGGACACCTATGGTCAGGCGCAGTTGGGGTGTAGTTCGGATTTGTGCTGTCCGCTAAGGGGGTTTGTAGGCAGGTGGGTCGTCAGTTGGGCGAGCTATAGGCCAAAGTCAAAGCTGATTTGATTATTGCCCGTCGCCGCAGGAAAAGGAAAGTTCAAGGACAGGGGGGGGGCGGCCCGGAAAGAAGAATGAAAGCAGAGCTGGCTGCCGTGGGCAGTGGACAAGTAAGAATATGGGTGGATTCTGCATTTTGTGGCTTGTCCAAAGAAGCTGACAGCAGTTGTGCAACTGGACTGATTATTCTCGTGCTTGTTTCGAACGCCGCCCTCCCACTGCTAAATATGGACGAGGACAGGGTCCCGCAGGCTGAGTCTCAGGGGCCAAACCTGTGCGAAGCAAAACAGCCGCAACAACCCAAACTTGGCGTCCGGGTTGACGTACCCGGTAAGTCAAAAAGCGCATTTCTTCGGGGCTCATGGGCCTAGAGCGAATCGTCGGGCTCATGCTGATCGAACTCCTCGGGCTGGTCGGGCTTGTCCGACGGGGCGCCATGTGGCACAGGCGGTCCGGTGGATCCGGGCGACTCCAGTAGGGTTCGCTTTGTTGGCTGCTCAGTGTCTCTTTAACCGCTATTTCCATCCAGCTTGGCTAGCTTTCGGCTTGTGTCTTTGCGCAATCTCCAGCCTACGGGGCTCCTGGCGGTGTTGGGGGGGGGGGGGTTTCTCACGGGTTGAAGATGTTGAAGTCTATCTGCAAGTCAGGGGTGACGCCGGTCTGTTGAACCTTCATTAGGGTGCCCGCCTGTGCACGGTCGGTACCCGCTCGAGAGTCACAATGACTTGCAAAATCGTTGGCTCTGTGGATTGTTGCATACAGTATTACAAGTTAGAGTGTCGGGCCATTTTCTGCGCTAGCTTCAAGCGCAGAGACGCTGACCGATGGCCAACATGCCCTGAAGGCAGTGGACGCAAAACCTGCCAAAGAGCCGACGCGTGTGACATTGCCAAGTGAAGAGCTGTTGAGCGGCGCAAATTGAGTTGCTCTCCGCAGTCGACAGGCTCATTCCCGTCGCAGGTTTTGGATGTCCCTGAGCACATTGAGAGCCGGGAGGGCCAATCAGCAATCTGGCACGCGTCAATGAGTCAAGCGGGCCCGTGGTTCAACAGAAGCCCGGCATCAGTTCCAGCTGCGCATGTTATTCGGATTCTCGGCGTCAGCCGGAGTTCAGCGCCGGCCTGTTGGCCTTGCTGCATGCTTTTCCCACACCCCGGGAAATTGACATCGCCCGATTTGATTTTGCGGATGCCATGCCAATTTGTAGTGGAGTGGGAGGCATGGCTCCCGCAGGTCATTTTTCTCATTTCCCTTTTGGACGCTTGTTGTTTTCAACACTTGGCGCTGCACTGCCCAGCCGCCAGGGAACAAGGCAGAGCGGCTCGGTGCGGCCCAATATGAAACCACAGAAGGCAAAATTCTAATCCCCACGGCTTGCAATTGCCAATGCAAGCTTAGGATCCTGGCAGTGGTTTGAGGAGTTGAACTTGATCACATGCAATCATACACTGATTTCACAGGTGTTTGCATGAGTCATCCCTTTTTGTTTGCACTCACCTGCAACCAAGGGCTCTTTGAGAGGAACACTGTTTGCCGAGGAACTGCGGTTGATGTTGGGTATTGGCTTTGGAGCTTTTTCTTGCCGGGTTAGGCTGATGACTTGGTGAGCTTTTCGGCGTTACACTGAGGACGCGGAATTTGAATCCATAGGCATTCCAGCGGCTGAGGATTCCCCATCTTTTGACTTTAACTTTTTGAGGAAATCAAGGTATATTGACCCCACAAAACGTTAATCTTTTTTTTCAGAGGGTCGACGGCAACCAAGATCTGTGGTGGAGGTATGTGGAGGTCAACAAATGGGACTCCTTCCAAGCTGGCCGGTCGCAGGACGGGTCTGTTCCTCCACCCCTGGACCAGCCAGAGGCGGCGCTGCTTGACTTTCTCAGCGTGGCCCTATGTTGAAAGGTGATCGCATCTACGGTAGTGTTTTTTTTGTTTTTTTTCCAGGAGCAACCCTACAAGCCAACTTTTTGTTTCTGGGGCAAGCCTACAACTTGTTCTTTTCAGGAGTAACCCTATGAACAAACTTGAGTGCCTGTCTTCAGCGCAAACCAGTTTCAGCCCAATGTTGTCTAATCGTGGTGAATGTCCTGCAAGAGATGGCTATGGGCGCGTCTTGGTTGGACCCTGTTCGGGATGGCCGACGATGGTTTCAACCTCATGTGGCTTGCAGCCTCTAGTGTGTACATTCATACTAGAAAGAAATCAACTCCTTCCTTCATCCATCCCTTCCTTCCCTCTTCGAATCCATCTATCCATCTATTCACTAATTTCATTCATGTCATGTCATGTCCTTTCTGGATGCGTACATTCACACACGCACATATTCATATTTCATGCATACATGCATACTGCGCTCGAGCCATAGCCAAAGGAAGGGAAACAAAACATGGCCGTGAAACAGATTGCCTCAGTAGGAAGTAGTTTGAAGCCACCGATCGGTCTCGAGTGACTCGAGTCACCAAGCTTTTGGTACGGATGCTATGAGAAGGCGACAGGGGGGTCTGTTTGCCACCTTTTGTGGCGACCCCCTCAAAAAGGAATCCTTCACTATTTAATGTTGACCCCGGATTAATAAACCCCTGTTTATTTATATGGGGGTGTGCCTGGCTTTAGTGGGGATTCATCACTTTTGGAGAGGAACCCCCCCATATTAACAAACCGGGGGGTTTATTAATCCGGGGTCAACATTACAAGGGGATCGATCATTTTTCCCCAAACAAATCGCCTTTCCACAGACCTTTAGGGATGGTTTTGCAGGGATAAAACTGGGTCAACATTGCCCCCTTACAAGGGACTTGGACATCTTGGACCTTTCCGGAGCCTGATCAGCTTCTTTTACACGCATGTGGGGTACCCATGGCTCTCACGGCTCTCTTATTTTCACGCAGACGCATGTTGGCTGCCCATGGCTCTTGTGGGCTCCGTCGGTTTTGTAGCCATTTCAGCTGAAGCCGTGGGAAAACCGAGAGATGTCCTGTGGCCGGGTGCTGGCGACTTGGCTGAACAGATCCGGAAAGGTTTTAGTCTCAGCGCGGGTGAAACGAGGGCGAGCTCACCGATTCGGGGGTGTAACGGGCGAAAGCCAAGATAATGGTCTTTTACCTGGCGATCCCATACTGCAGCTTTTGAAATTCAAGTAAAAGGTGCAGCTGAAGACTTTTCTGAGGCTCCCTTTCAAAAGAAATCCTACCAATCTGGAGCTTTGTTTTCAGGATTTGACTCCCGTTGGTTCAAGGCGCATTCCGCACACGCTACACACCACACAGCAGCTTGTGTGTTCGCTTCCGTGCCTTTGAACGGCTGGTCCGAGTGAGCTGAGGTGACGTCTTGCGCCTAGCGCTGCAGGAGATCGGGGGGGGAGAAGAGCGCAGGTGTCCTGAGGGTCAGAAACGAAATGGGTTTGGTTCAAGTGTTGTCTTCGTCATTTGGGACCAATCCTCAGTTCTTCAAAGCGAATCGACCGGATCTGACCTTTTGGTTTTCCCTTGGTCTATTTTTAGTAGAGGTCCCAAAAGGTGATCACCTTTTTGTAAACAGGTCCTGTGGGGGCAACTCAGAATCGGTTTTGTGAAAGTGACAAAGACGTTTTGGACGGTTGTGCGCCTCACACGGAACCCCTAGCCATAGAGATGTGGGCGAAACCACCTTCTGACGAGGGCGAGAGTGAGCAGATTTCGCCGTCTCATTCCCTTGGACAGTTGCTCATAGCAGGTTTCGCATTTGCAACTGCTCTCACTCGCGTTTGCAAACTACGGATTCCAAACCTTCAAGGGCCTTCCCGCACGAAGCGGGCCTTCGAACAAGGGATGCTTGAAAGGAATGGATATTGAATTAGTCCCCGATCGCGGGCTTTCAGACAGAATATTAATAGTTGCGTACACCTAAAAGGCACTGGCCGACACATAGATCTTGGATTTTCCTTTCTGAAAAGAAGCCAAATGCCTTCGGGAGCTCAGGCTTCCGGCGGATCGCTTTTTGCCAGGCATGCGCTTTTTGGTGGCGTGGGACGGCAGCGAGCCACTTGGGTTGAGAAGACAACTTTGTTCTTAGGCTAGGTCCCCCAGTAGTGCCCGTGTACCGTTTCTGTTTTGGGGGAGAGTTCCCCTACTAAAATACACTACAGAAAAAAGTTGGTACCCTTACTCCTCTACTGAAGGGCCTAGTAGGGGGGTCCTAGGCTTCCACATTGAGGAGGGTCCGTTTCTCACTGCATGTGCATGAGTTCCTGGACTGCATGCTCTTTCGGCATGCTGAAAGACGCACGGTGGGGGAGATATGGGTGGGGTGTATTATGACATCCAGTTGGCAGACCTTGTTTCGAACCCTTACTGCTTTTGTCTCATATGACCTGAGTCGGGGTTTGGGCGGAGAAAAGCCATTGGTAGGGTGTTGGTTGGCGGACGTTGGGCTGGCGGACAGTGTTCGGCCTTGTGACATGACCTAATCAGGGTAAACCAACTGCCTGAATCTCCTGAACTCCTGAAGTCCTGAACTCCTGAACTCCTGAACCCTTAGATGCGATATTGCTCACTCTGATGGGCGATGTCCCATTGTGAAGGCTAGTTTGCGAGTCCAGCCCGCCCCACTCCACCATCCCATGGCGGCTGCCCGCCATCCCCTGCTGCACACACACACACCCACACACTCAACTGGCTCATATGGATTTGGAGGATCGTCGCAGAAAGCACTGAGGTCTCATTCAGCGTGGATTTCCAGACAGATCCACTGGACCTAACGCTTGGGCTGGAAGCTGAAGCCGGCCTTGTTTTCTTTGCTTCCACACATCCGACCCTTTGGATTGTTTCGCCCCACTCCCACGCCCAACCCACAGCGCCCACGAGCCACACCAGTCGCTGAGGCTTAGTACAGTCGCTCTGCGGGCCACCATCCATGTCTTGGCCCGACCCGGAGATCAACTGCCCAAACCTCAGACTCGAGAAGGAGGTCGTCAACAAGCAATGGTCAGATGGTGAACACGTGTATTATATATATATATATATAATAGATTCTTATCACCATGCATCATCCTTTGCAGGCTGGGCCGAAACCTCCCCTTCAATCAGCACAAAGACTCGGACGTTGGCGGCGAACGCGCCCTCGGTCAAACACGTGGGTTGCTTCCATTTTTCTCCGTTTGTTTGGAGAGGCCGGTCACTCAGACAGTCTTTGAGCAAGAAAAGGTGGCCCCTTGATTCCACGGCGGGTCTGGTTCCGTTCCAGGCCGCATCCATTGCAAGACGCGTCAATCCAGATTTCGTGCCCGAGGCTGGTATACCACGTCCGCAGTCCTGGCAGGCGCCCTCTGGCGGTTTCAGACAAGCCGCCAGGTTGGGCGATGTTTAAACCACCGTTGTTTGAACAACCTTCTTTTGGTTCCCCTTTCAAAGCAACTTGTCGCTCCTGGTCCTGGTTAGTCTGCCCAGTTCATCCCAGTTCCACTATGAAGAGTCTTGACCCCCTTATTTGCCAAGTCAATTTGTCGTTCCAATGCCGTTTGGGCAATTGGAGTGCCATCAACGACATGCAACGATTTGTTCTCAACACCCTCCAACTGCACCGGTCATCATGATTTGAGTATAATTCTAGGTCCCCCAGTAGTGCCCTTTTACCCTGTTTTGGGGGAGGGTTCCCCTACTAAAATAGACTACAGAAAAAGGGCGAAAAAGGGTACCCTTATTCTAACCTCTCTACTGGAGGACCTAGTAGTTGTATCGTGGCTCTCCTCCTGCTGAGGGAACGGAGTATATCTCCACTGAACGTTGCGCTTTCCGAGCCATGTTTCTCCTCCGGCGCACGTGAATGGCTAGATCCTCGGAACTCATTTCCAGCATTGGCTTCTCGCCACCGTATGCTGAGGGAATTCACGACAGCTCTTGGGGGGGGGGGGGGGCACTTCCAGAGGGCTTGGCTTTGCGGATTTGCCTCACCGAACTCACCTTGACTCATTTGTGGTTGGGGTTCGTTTGGAGGTGGTGGGGCACCTTCCCACTCAAGGGACGAACTCCCAGCTCCACACAAGTGACATCCTCCAAATTACCCTCATGGCGGCTTCAAGGGTCCCCCACAAAAGACACACCTGTAATATATATTTGTATGACTTTCTGCCATGTGTGTTGCACATTTCTGGCATGGATACCTTGCTCGCGACATCCCCGGAAATGTAACCACTATGGACCCAGAATTCAACCACCATTAGCTCATACATTTTTGAGGGGACCCTCTTTTGCTTGAGTTTCGAAGGGAAACCAAGAGGGACTCGTTGTGCTTTAGTATATATATATATCCCTGAGAATCCATGTAGGCAAATATGGCGTACATTGCAATGTAGCCATTTTTTGGGTACATTATTGGCAATGTAGCAAAAAAACAACATTCGTCGGATCCCTGTCGGATTGTCGAAATATAGCCAAAAAATGCTACATTCGCCGAATCCCCGTCGAATGTCGAAATATTGCCTGAAAATTGATGAGATTTGACGCAGCTCGTGTCCGATAGTCAAATTTCAACCCAAGTGTGGCGGAGTTGATTGAGCATATTTTTTTCGGGGCCCAATGATCCTGCTTGCTAACCTGCTCTATTTTCCAAAGCACTGTTGTGTAGCAACTTCGCTTTCATTCATTTGCACTTGTTTCAGCAATTTGTAAGCACCACGTTATTGACATGGACATTTGATGATGTTTGTAGCTAGCGATGGTTGAGAGCTTGCCATCAGACTCTTGCAAGTGTTTTTTTTCCGGATGAGCAGGCTAAGCCAAACAAACACATCAACAATTGCGTGAATGATTCTGTTCGTGCATATGGGCAGTTCTTATGGGACCGTGTGTGTGTGTGCGTTGGTGCACTCTTATGAGAAAGCCGCTCCAAGCATTGAGTACGCAAATTGTTCAACCACTGGCACTGTCGCTGCCAACCAACATGGGGGCGGACGTGCAACGCAAAGCCCCTCGAGCTCTATTGCCCATTGCAAACGTGCTTTGATCTCGAATTATACGTATTTGAAATGATATAACCTTACAAATTCAACATGCTCTGAGCCAAGGGAACGGACTTGCCGACCTTGAGCCGCATGGGGAAGAAAGCACAGCCATCTATCAACTGCCAGGGATTTATGCTACAACACTACAGCCTACACGCGCCGAATGATTGAGATGAGGAGCGCCAAACCAAATTGGCCTACCGAGTCGACTCCCAACTGCCGCCCAGTAACTGTTGGCCATTCAAGCGTGCTCAATCTACGCAGCAAGATGTCCAAGCATACCAAAAACAAACTCCAATTTTATCTTACCAACAAGTGTTGTTTTTAATTCCGCTAAGCAAAACACAGACATACATTTGTTATGCATTTGCAAATTTTATTGTGTATACACATAAAGCAGTGTCCTTATTTGTAGGTTTAAATCAATGACTGCATTGGGATTGGGCAGACCTGGCGTTTTGCCGATTGAGCATGGGATGTATGATGCTGCGCGCGCGACCTGTATGTCAATTATTAGGTTGCCAATACTAATTGCTATGCAAACTCGGACAAGGAGCCACCAAGCTTAGCATCCATGTCTTCAGCGCGCTTGAGTTTGGATTGGCATGCTGGAGACTCAGCATCCGGATTGTCTACTCGCATCAGCTTTGGGCTCGCATCAACCATGCAAAAAGCTCAGTCTTGCCTGTTCAAAGCTTGCCACGCAAAAATGAACTTCCCTGCCAGCAGAGGACTCCCCAATGAAGTTCGAACGTCTACTAAAGGCCCAACAAGTACCTATTTTTGATAAATGTGGCTCCCCAAAAGCAGTTCAGCAAAGGTCCGTTTATACCCCCTGGCTGACCAAAGTAAGTCCCTACCATGTTCTTCACACCTGCGCAAACTTGCAAGCGATTTGGAGTAAATGACCCAACAAATTTCGTTTGCTTTTGCGCGACTTCTTCTCGGATTGTGTTCCTGTCCTTTAAACTTGTGCAAACGGAAAACCGTGATTTGGCGTGATTTGGCGTGAAAAGTTGTCGGATCGTCTTCTTATTTTTGCTTACATTAACGGAAAACCGTGAAATAGCGTGAAATAGCGTGAATTCTTGCCGGACTGTGTTCGTGTGTTGTCCACGCGTTTTACGAGAAGCAACGTGCGATTTCGCACGATGACTCGTCGGACGAGGCTCGATTCTTGTTTGCGCCGTGAGTTGGAAGTGATGTGGCTTGATTGTTTGCGTCACCTCGTCACCTAGCAAGCTGGCCTAGAAACATGTGCCCGCAAAACAGCGCAGAAACGCTTGTCGGACAAATGGATTACTAGCGCGTATGCCCAATGAGGGCAAAGCACTGAGCCCAAAACATTCGGAGAGAAGCTGACAAGGACATGTTTAATCAAGGGGAGCATTAGACAAACATGTTACGCGTGTCCTTTCTAGTTGGGTTTTACCGATAAACAGACTCCTGCAAAGCAACATATGGGCTTGGACTGTGTCATATCCGTCTAGTCTCAATCATTCTCCTCAAGACCGCCGCTTGAGCCCTTCCCGGCACATCTCGTTTAACATCCACGTTTGGTAAGTACAGCAAGCTGCTTTTTGTTAAGTCTGTGAATTTTGCATTGCGGCATGGTCACTATCTGGCCAGTGAAATTTCGCTTAGCAAGCATTTGCCGCTCGAATGTTTAAAGTGAGCCTCCTGGAAACAAATGAAACACCTGCTTTGAACAACAAGGGCTTTTTAAGTTGGGCTGCGCTCTGGACTGGGTTGCGGCATGGTGTTAAGCAAGTATTTGGTTGGAGATGTGGTTGATGGAAGTAGACCCCTTACCTTCGGTCGACGGTTTATGGCCCGCGAACAAGCTTGTCACGATGATCCATCGCCCCTGCGTAGGCGCGCTTCAAGCATAATAGCAACTTGGCTCGCAATCAGGAAGCAACACGCATTTAAGCTACACACGGGCAAGTTGACAAAATTGTGCCCCTGTGGACAACAACGATGTAGCATCATTCTGCTTGATCGTTTAGTTTGGGGGGTATCAACCCGCATGGGCGGTTGGATAGGTTTTGTTGAGAGTGACTGCTGGCGGGATCTCCTGCTGCGAGGTGTTTTGCAAGGTGCGCAATAATTATGTTTGTTGAGTGATCTTTGCTAACCGGCGTTGCCTTGGTGTGATCCTGCGCTGGAAATGTGCTTCGTGGTGTGGCCTGAAAAGTTTGAACTATCGCGCTGTTTCGTCAAGCAAGCCAGCCCGTCAAAAAGGTTAACTTTACCATCGGAAGTCCTCAGCGGGATCTGCTACACTATGCTAGTCGATTCCTGCTTTTGCATGCCAGGCAACCAACATTTACTGACAATGATAGCTGGGGTTGGCTCGAGTCATTTTGTGCCCTGTTTGTGCCCTGTAGTTGTTGCCAGTCATTCGCAGTTTAAGCTTTGTCCGTACATCAATTTGCGGCATGCCTTTGTATTTTCCTTCATTGTGAGTTAAGTTAGCGGTTGGAAAGGCATTGGAAAAGGGTGGTTGGAGGGCGTCGTCGGATAGAGTTGTCGAAATTGAGGCGAGCTTGTTGTCGGAAGGCTTGTCGGAACCCTTGTCGGAAGTTGTCGGTTTGAATGTCCCCAAAAAGTGGCTACATTCAGGTTAATCGGCCAATGTAGTTGAAAAACACGGGCGTCGGCCAATGTAGGCGATATATGCATACATTGGATTGTCAGGGTATATATATATATTTTTTTTTTTGGGGGGGGGTACCCAAAATACGACGAGCCACCTGGATATATTTCTCCAGAGAGCAACTCACTTGCCCAAAGTGGATCCACCTTTTGACCTGTTTGGTTTTCCTATTTTGGCTTCCCATTTAGTCATGGCTCCAGAAGGTGTTCACCTTTTGTTTCTGGGTCCTGTGGCTTCCATTTGCTTAAGAGTGTTTTTTTATTATTATTATTTTCCCTGTTCGTTTTTAGAGTGAATCGATTTCACTACTGGACATTGTTTCTCATTTTTCTGGTGGGACGAAAGAGCTAAGGGAAGTTGGGCAACTGAGTAAACAATGCTGGCTATATCAACCCCATTGCTTGAATGGTGGTTTAAAATCCAGGGAAAAAGGAACCCAAAGGGATCCAACAAGTGAGGAATTTGCATGATTGCGTCCGTTCTCCGGATCCTTGACTTCCGGATTGAAGTGAGACCAACCTACATCCTTCAAGACCCTTCTGATTGCACCGCCGGATTGTTGACACCCTACTGTGGATGGACGAAATCCATTTCGCACCACCCAAGAAACCCTAGAATGATGATTGCCCTGTAAATACCAACAAACGTTAGGGTTTCCCATGGTTTCCAACTGGTGCGAAACGGATTTCGTCCATCCACCGTATTTACCAGAAGAAATTGTATGAATTGGAAACCCTCTCGGCCATGTTTTCCTTTCCCCCCCCCCCCCCGTTTTTTTCTCTCCGGGGTATTCATGTATGATTGTTATGTTTTCCTTTTTCCCCCTTTTTTTCTTCCAGGTATTAATAATTGATGTATGATTGTTCTTCCAACCAGACGTCCAGTTGGGTTTTTCCGTTTCCAACGAAAGGATCGCCAGGTATGGCGCCTCGGAGGAGTTCGAGCTGGAGAAGCTGCAGGCGCGTCTGGCCCAGGAGAGATGGTGGCTGCGCACGATTCGATTCATGGCTGGGGGAGGGAGGGAGCCCCAATTTCTGGTTTCCATTGGGCTTACTTCTTGGAGGGAGCCCTTAAAGCAGCTCAAATATCAAGCCCTTAAAAAGGGATAGGCTGAGTTTTAGCCCCCCCCCCCCTTGCCTCCCCCCCAGCCCCTCTGAGATTCTGTGGTTCTGTGTGGCCCTGTGGTTTTTTGCCCGGAGGATATGCACTTTTTGTGGCCCGTCCACTCAGGAAGTGAGGTGTGGATGGCAGTAGGACCGTGATGCAATGCTTCACCATGCCGGAGCACTTGCTGCAAAAAAACAAAAAACGCAAGGAGCTGCAAGACGCCGAGGGCCTGAATATCCTCTCCCAGCGCAAGAGTGGGGAGATGGACGAGGCAACGTCCGCAAACCGCCGATCAGCTGTGTCCATATAAACATCCATCCCAAATAGATCCGTTTAAACCACCAGCGTGAGTTGGACTTTTTGGACCAGCTTGTTTCATGTTTGCCATGGGGTGTGGCTCACAATCATATAGAGTTGCTCTTTTAGCAGGTGCTTGTTGCTCCCATATGCCAAGGAGCCCTTTTAGGGGAGTCCATTCTTTGAACGGCCAAAGTCAAGAATGTCAAGCGCGCAAGAAAACCATCGCTCCGATGCAAGTCGAACGGAGCATTGGAGCTCGCCTGTTGCCAGGTGCGAAATGTGGCTCCGTGTTCAACACTTCCTTTCATGCGTGCGCGCGTGTGTGTGTATTTTTTGTAGGGAACCCTTTGTGTATTTTGGCTGAACACCCTTTCTTGGTTTGTGTTTTCTGGTTGGGAGCCCTTTCTTGGTTTGTTTCAAAGGGAAAGCAACAGACAAGAAGCAGCACGTTTTGGTTGGGGGGGTCCGCTTGTTCAGAGGCAGACCCATGAAACGGAGCCAAGCTTTCTTCGACTGGCGGCTGACTATGGCCAGTGGCGGTTATTTGCTCAAATTTCACCTAGTGGCTTTTTGAACATGAGCATCCACAGACACCAACTCAGTTCGAGCTCATTTGCTTCATGTGGCTGTGGGTCAAAACCAATGGTACCATTCTGGGGTAGGTGCACCACCCATTTTAGTCTATTCTTGTGGGGATGGAATCGGATGTTCACTGGAGGGCTTTTGACCCATGGCCATTTCTGCGTAAAAACCCTTTTGAATTCCACCAGATTTCACCGCTGACAGCAGGCTGCCCAAGTGGACAGCCGGTCGCTCATGACGGTGCACCAGAAGGCACGGGGAGATCGGGAAGTTGGACTCCGAGAATCCGGTGCTCTTTGGTTCCTGAGGGACAGCTTCCATTGGCTGAATTGAATGGTCTATTCGTTTTTTTTCCTGGTTGGTTTCAAAGGGAATCGATTTTAATTGCTTTCAAAGAAACACACAAAATTACTTCTGGCTAGATGTGTTCTCATTTTTTCCAGGCGGCTGAAGCAAATGGACGGACGGCGTTGAAAAGTGTAACCCCGGAAAGGACGAGGAACGGCTGCTCGAAGCACTTCGGCTTGCCGTTGACCTCACAGGATCCATGTCAGGATCCCAGCCGAGGTTGTCACAAGAAAACACTTAAGCCTTTCGGGGCTTCGCTTTGCTTTGCAAGCCCAAGCTTTGGGCACAAAAATCCTGATGGCTCCAAGCCTTGGCTCGTGGAATGTCTTTGTTTTTGCTCGGATTGAAACGACCGCCTGTCCCTAAATGTACCTAAGTCTCCGAAAGTGAACAAGCGCAAGGCTTCCTTGAATTGAGGTAGTGAGTTTTGATGTCGTGGGTTTCGGGTTGCTGTTTGGTTCGGGTTGCAACCGGTCTCATCTAATTACATCTCATGTCTCTTGGGCTGGATGTCCCCAGTTGGCACGAGTTTGGTTTTTCTATCTGGTTGATAAATGATCCACTCCGAAAAGCGGCGCATCATTGGGCGGTGAATGATTCACGATTCTCAACTCCAAGCTTTCGCATAACTTACAAAGGCAACTCTAAGCTCGTTTTAAACCAATATAGAAAGCATGTTCGAAAGAGTAAAGGGCTACATAATCTAGAAACAATGTAAACACAAACGAAGAAATCGTCATGTAAGTTGTATACATATTCTCAGAAACTTACAACACAAGTGCAATGTACAAATCAGACGATGGAAGCCGTTATCCCTAGTTTCATTCGTGTCAATCATTATTTAGTAGTAGTAATGGTTTCAATGCATTTAACATGCCCATTGCTATTATTGTATAGTTATGGCTTTACTTATTGCATGATCTTACGCTCAAGCACATTCGTCATTTGATGACAATTCAATTGGTGTTAATTCATCATAATCAACTAAATATGCTAAACATCCTTGATAAACTTAAATTCTAATGCACAACTAGGTCCCCCAGTACTAAAATCGACTACAGAGAAAAGAAACGGTACGCTTATTCTAACCTCTCTACTGGAGGACCTAGACAATAGGGTGACACCACGAGAAAGGGCGGCCTCCGCGAGGAGAAAGCGGAGGCCATGAAGATCTCTCGCGGCCTGGCGAAACGATTTACCGAGCGGATGGGCGGATCGTTTGGCCTGTGCCAGTGGTTTTTTTGGTGGCTCCCGAAGGCCATCCGGTTCCTGAGCTTCTTCGCCTTTTGGTGTTTAATGAGGGATTGTCCATTGAACCCACTAAAAGTAGTCAAGAAATAACGACCCCTTTGCCCCCAAAGGCATGGTAACTGGCGTGAGGTTTGCATGAGGCCACTTTGGTTTAGGTTGAGGGTTGCATGACATGACAGACTTGTCAAACGGCAAACGCCGTTTGGCTCAAGCGCTCACTGAAAAAGGGCGCTGAGTGCGGAACTAGAGTGTAGAGACAACCCCCTGAACCGCTGAGGGATTAACCACGGTCAATCCACCTCTTTTTGTTCAGGGCGCAGCCTTCGGCGCGCGTTTGGGGTTTCTTGCTCTTTTGATTGGTTATCAGCCGTATAGCCTTTCTTTCGGGATTAACTAGGCCCTCCCTCAGCGGTTCCCCCATAAGGGGGCGCGCATGGCCGTCGAGGAAGAGTACCACAAACGTGGTACCCGTGGAGGAGCCGCAAACAAGAAGCGAGTGTGGTGGGAGCTCCAGGAGGACGTGATCGACGAGGTCCAGCAGCGTTTTGGGTTTACACCACCCAAGTTGCAGTGGGAACAGGGATCAGAGGTGCAGCTTGCTGCCCTTCGGGCCTGGAACCGGGACGTCACCGAGCAGCGCTGGGAGGAGCTTCACAGGTGGCATCAGCCTTCGGCCCTTCGCATCCGGGCAATCCGTGAAGAAGAACGGAGGGCCGCAGCCACTGGCGCGGCAGGTGCAAATCCAGTGCCTGCCACTCCCTCGTCTCCGACCCCCTCTACACCACCTCAGCAGCAGCAGGCGGCGCAGCCTTCCGTGGCCCAGCAGGCTTCACCTGCTGAGGCTTGGTTGTCTGCTCCGGCTTTGCCTACAGCGAGGACCGCAGCCCAAGGCGCGGTGACTGGTACAGCTCCGAGGAGAAGGACATCTACGACCTCCCCACGGTCAGTGTCAAGGCAAGTTCTGCGAGCAGTTTATTCCCAAGTACCCATCGTGCTTAGGTCTCGCTCTCGGTCAAGAACTCCGACACCGATCCAGGAGGCCGCAGCCCTCGGCGCGGCAGGCGAGTCGAGCAGTCGGGAGCCTTCGGGAACCCGCAGAACTCCTCGCCCGACGACCAGTCGATCCTCGCGTGGCAGATCGAGGAGTGTGCCATCAAGGACCTCGCCAACCGACAGGCCGATCGTGCTGGCGCCAAGGAGCTCGGCCTATCCGACGGTCCGCATCGACCGGACCGGCACGTGGACACTGCAGAGGGAGCAGCCCTCCGGCGCTCCACGGGCATTTGCAGGCCGAGCCCGCTCACGTCTACCGCAGTTCAGTGATCCTCACGAGCTGCCAACGGACGTGTGGCTCCGCCCCGAGGCCTACGGGGAAAGGTCTAGTTCCTCGACCCCAAACTACGGGAACGCGGAGGTCTACCACCTGGCAGACTACTCCGACGGGGACACAGTGCACAACACAGAAGATTTGCTTTCAGGCAGAGCAGCATTCCGGGCGGGTGGGGTATACGAAGCACCGTTTCATAGACCTACAGTGCCGGCCTCACCTTCGGCCCCTGCTACGAAAGCCACAGTAAAGTGCGGGACGCGGCCAGCGGCGCGGGGAACAGTTGCAGCATTTTTGGCAAGCAGTCGCGGACGTGTTTTGAGCAAAGCAAGATCTTCTTCGCCCCCACGCTTAGCGGCACCGCCAGCCAGAAAGGCTTCTGTCCCTGCAAACAGCCGGCCTGGCCCACACATCAGGTACAAACAGCCGCCGGCATCGTTGAGGTTGCCACCAAAAGGGCAGGGAGCAGCCTTTGGCGCTCCAGACCCACCTTGGCGACAACCGCCAAAGCGAGAGCCACCGAAGCCTCCTCCACCAAGGCGAGAAAGCCACGGGATCCCAGATCCCCCACCTCGGACACCCCTTGCGGACCGGAAGACGCTCAACATCGTCCTGGACTGGCACGGGGTGCTCGACGTGAACATCCGCTCTGGGGGAAGGCTTCACCCACAGATCGTGGACGGATTGATTCGTCTACAGACAGCTCACGGTCCGTTCAATTGGATTATTTGCAGCTATTGTGGAGCGCGAACGAACTACGGCACCGGAGATCGCCACAGCAAGGGTACACTTGGCTTACAAGGGCATCTACGTGGGTACAACGCAGTTCACGCGCTCCAGGGTTGGCGTTGCTGGCAAAGCAAACCTATTGCACGGTTGGGCAGCACACATCCTTGTGGACGACAACGCCACAATCTGTCGTGAGGCGCGACTTACAGGCGCGCACGCTTTCCGGGCGTACCCCAGCCAGGGGGTGCAAGGGACTCTGGACGCGTTGATTGCTATTGAGCAGTGGTTGGATCAAGCCGACCGAGCGACCATCCAGCCTGCCCGTGCACTTACTGCCGCAGAGCTCCTTGAGGAGGTCCGCAGGTAGCAAATCACCTGGGCTCACGACAGGGGTGCAGCCGTTGGCGCACCTAGGATATTTTTCCCAACCTGTGCAGGGGGCAGCCGTTGGCGCCCCGAAGAACTGTGGCGCAAAGACGCACGAAGTCACACATTTCCAATTGCACACAACTGCATTGGTGAGCCTGCACATTTGCATCCAATTTGCAATCAGAAGTTTAGGTTCAAAGGAGATTCCCCATTATCAATTAGTGAGGCATATCAATCCTTGTGTGACTGAGTGTGTTGCTGCATCATTCAATAATCTGTTTTGAGTGTAGCCGTAAGCGCACATCTCATAATCCCACCAGGCACAAATCACCGGCCTTGGAGAGTGCTGCCTTTGGCGCACTGACTTGGTTCGCGTGTGCAGGAAAAGCTATCGCATCCGTGCGGCTCAGGCATGAATCCCTCTGGCATTACACCCCCATCCGAAGATAGGTCTAGATCCTCACATGGCACAGACTATGATGACCCAGACCTTGCGGGTGCAATGGTGCCAGCCATGTCTGTTGTTAGGCATAACCCTAATAGCCCTGCACCAGATTCCGATGCAACCCCTGTTAGGCGCATGTTCGTTTCAGAACCATCCTCATCAGAGCCGGCTGGAACGCCCGATCCAACCCAGAACCTCCCAGCTGCTGCATTTGTTGCGGGTGCCGCCGTTCAACGTGCCCACCATGCTTCCGATGTCGCGCTTCAGGCCGCTGAACATGCACAGCAACAGCAACTGCTGGCTGAGCAGGCCCGAAGGGAGGCGGGGGAACTCCGGGAAGCCGCCCAACAAAGGGAAGGGTTGTTTAGGCATCAGGCAATGAACCTTGTAACCCAAGCTCAACAGGCCGTGAATTATGCACGTGAGCACGAGCTCAATGCGAGGCAGCAAGCCATTGGCGCTGCGGAGCAAGGTAGGTCAGACTAGGGCTTTAGCTGAAAGGTACGCAGCAGAGGTTCGCAACAGAGCTAATGCTGAACAGGCCCAGGCCCAAGCTCAGACCCAATACCTTTATCAGGAAGCACAACGTGCCGTAGCCGAACGTGATGCCACCATTCTAGCTCTGCAAGAGAAGGATTTGCAACAAGCGTCTAGGTTAGCCGAACTTGAAAGGACGGTTTCCCTTTTGCTTGAAGTCCGTCAGCCTCCGACTCGCTCGCCGCAAAGTGCCCCGCAAGCACAAACCGATAATGGTACGGATTCTAATACCCCTCAACCCAAAGGGTCGCATAACCGGAGCTCCCCCATTTTGGGTGGACAGGATGTGTCAATGGGTAACCAAACGGGGGCTTCATCCAGTGGATTGCAAGACCAAGCAAACCAGCAGAGTGGACTTGATAGATCCTCACAACAGGGTTTAGATAGTGCCGCACCTCAAGTGGGTCCTCATCATACAACTGGTGTTGACTCGGGCGCCCAGCCCGGTGCTTCCTCTGCCAACCTGCATGTCACATTCCAGGATGTTGCAACCCCACGTGATGTTGCCGCAGGAAGTGTGGGACTCGCAAAGAGCCTCGCCCCTACCGGCCCAACACAGGACGTCGCAGGAAGTGCGGGACTCGCAAAGGGTTCTGCCCCTACCGATTCAGAGCAATGTGCCGAAGCAGCGATCGCCAAAGGAAGTGCCACGTCCGCAAAGGGCACAGCCCCTACTGGCGCATTCGATGAAGGTGCAGGTGCCGCAAGCAACAGTGCTGTGTCCGCCAAAGGCGCAGCCGTTGGCGCGCAGAGCAGTAGTCAGGATGAGAGAAGTGAGATAGCAGATGTTAAGCAGCAAATTGCTTCCCTAGCCTCAATGGTGCATCAGCTTAGCACTTTGGTCGCTGCACAAAGCGTGGCTCCTCCTCCAATGGCTTCAGCTCCCTGCCCTGCCCCAACTGCCGCAAGGGCAGCTGCTAAGGCATACCCGGTTCCCATAATCCCCCTAAGTTTTAGTGCGGGAATGGTCGACACCACCCCTAAGGCTGCATCAGACGCGAGCTCAGAGTCCTCATCAAGTTCCGAGAACGAGGATGATGATGCCGATGAACCCGAACCCACTGGCCAGTGTAGGGTTTGCGGTGGTTCCCACGACGAATTGTCATGCCCCCGTCTCTCAATGAACGAAGTGGGTTTAGACACCAACAGTGGAGATGCAACTCAGGGGGGCGCTGCATTTTGCGCGCCAAGTGCTGCTTTCAGTGCGGTAGGTGATGCTCACGGCACACTCCCAGACTCCGCCAGCGCACACCAGACCAAAAGTTTCGCATCCCAAGAGGAGGATGTCGTCCGCATCAAAGACTTGAAGGATTTGACATTTCCTGCCCCTCCCGAGGATGCGGGCCAAGCAAGAGGTTATGTAAACCAGGTTTTAATGGCCATAGGTAGACTTCAGAAGAGCCCAGGTGATGAACTTTACTTGTGGGCGCAAGACTGCCTAACTAAGAGTGACGCACAGTTGAAAGCTGATCAAAGGTTCCCACGAACCGATCGCGAAGTCACTGCGAAGCTCCTAAAG